TATATTGATATATAAAGATATGTGGTCTAACTAAACACTATAATCATTTTGTTCCTTTATCATAGGAAAATGACAGGATTAAAGCATTACAAGCTACGTATTGGAGTCACGAAAAGATTCCTCCTAGTTTTTTCGAGGTTGTTTGTAACATGAAGAAACTTCGGTGGATTTCTTGGAATCACCATTCATCAACTTCATTGCCAAGAGAATTTCAACCAATGGAGCTTTGTGGTCTACGATTGAAAGGGAGATTGTTAAAGCAACTTTGGGAGGGTTATAAGGTAATTCTTATTGTTTCTCTAATTAATTAAAGGATGATAATTAGTCATAAATCTAACTAATTTACAGACTAATTAATCATAAGTAGAAATATTGATATGATTGAATATCGGTGTCATTAGGCGACTCTAACTAATTACATCGTTAGAGGAGAAAATCCTAAAAATCCAGAATTACACAGCAGGATTTGGCAGTTGGAAGATGTTGTAGAAATATGTGGGATGGATGCAATGAAGGTAATGTTGGAGGTAGCTTTGTTTGTAGAAAATGCATCAGAAATCCGAATTGTAGATTTTAAACCCGGTTTTGGATGCATAAAAAACTGCCGTTTTGACAGTTTTCGCACGTTTTTTCAATACGAATTGGTCATTTTCGTGGAGAAAGAGGTACACAGATTTCATAACAATTTGGATTCGAGGTTCTGTCAATCACTAAATTTTATCCGATTGAGATTTCGATTGTACCATCGAAATACTTCAATCTGAAAGTGATAAACGACTTTCAGTGGGTTCCTAATAAAGATTTTCTAACATTTATTTTAGCCATTAACATTATACAAAAACATTAGCATTAGAAAAGTAGAGGTTATAAGTTAAAAGCACAAGAGAAAGGCCTACTTTAATTCGAAATTGGTTTCTTCGAATTTTATATCGAGAAGCGAGAATAAAAGGATCAAATTCTATTAAATAATTTTGCATTCAATTTATGTGTTTAACTTTGGATGGAAGTTTTTCTCCGACGATTCTACTCCACTCTAGAAGTAAAATATATAAAATACTAGTATAATGTGATGTTTAGTTTAACCAAAATAGTGAAAAAGGTAACCGGAAACTGAACCAAATAAGGGATTAACCGAACCGTTATACCGAAAACCAGAATAAGTCGAAATCGTTTTAGTTTGGATCGGATATTCAGTTATGTGTTTTTTGACACCCCTACGTCCTCCCTCGATCACTTAAGGTTTTGGATCTGCCTCTTGGAGTTTGAAGTTTCACTCACAGTATTTATGGAACAAAGCCAATAAAAGAAGCTTTCTGCTTTCACATAAACCTGAGGCAAAGAAAAAAGAAAGTTGATCGACAATCGAACAAGCAATTGGAAAGTAATTGCAGTTAACGAACACATGATTAGCGAAGTAATTTATAGAGATTGAATAAGTAGCAAGATTCTCTACTGACCAACTCCATGAATTAAAACCTGTAAATCGTCAATTGTATTTAAAGTGTCTGGTTTATAAAGTAGCATAGATAAGGGACATAAATAGGGCTATTTTAATTAGTATAAAAATGGTTTTCCCAAATTCCTCACTCTCTCTTAATCAACTAATTACATAAAACTACATCATCTATTTATTGAAAAACTAAAATAAAAACATCAATTAAATAATTTTTTTATTAAGTTTATAGGAGAAGTTCAAAAAAAACTCAACCAACTTTTTCATTTTATATAGTTTAGTCCCTAATTAAATGATTAAATTCTTGAATTAATTTTTTTTAATGAAAACCCATTAAATCTTCTCATTTTAATGTTTAAGTCTCTAAACATTTTTTTAATAAAATAAATTATGGCACTTTTAAGAATTGATTACTACATCTTTTTAACACAAAAAAAAAAAAAAAGTTAAATGTAACCAATTAGCAATGATTTATATATATTAATTTTTTTTTAACAGTTTTAATCATTTAAAATTAGAAATTTTAAT